GGAGGAGCCTGGTGGGCTACAGTCCATGGAATTGCAGAGTCGGACACGACTGAGCGACTGACACAGCTGGGCCAGCCCTGACCCTGCACCGGCTTCCTTACCACGGAGCCCAAAGCAGGAGGGCAGGGGTGGAGCCTCCAGAACCAGGAGGAGGGAGGAGAAGAAACGGGACAAAAGACAGCCTGGTTCGTGCCATGTGAGAGGCTGCGAGCAGAGGGGACAGTCCCCCGGCCCGCGGAGAGCAGAGATGAGCAGCGTCAGGATGGACCCAGGACGAGGGAGCCGAAGTCCGCTCTCCCTTCCCACACTGAGCAGGCGGCAGCCACGGGGGCCCCGAAGCTGGCCATCAGGACTTCACTGGGCCCCATCCCCGCCCCAGGAGCCCAGCCTTACAGGAAAAACACAGAAAGGAGGGCCCGCAGCAAGTATGACCAGTGAGGCTTTGCTTCGGGGATTACGATCCCGGGATGAACCGCTTCCCGTGGGGAAGGCGCCGCGCCAGCAGCTTCCCCCAGGCCACGTGCATCCTCACCTCGGCACCTGCCCCACCTCTCCTCTCGCCAGAGCAAACTCACGACAGGAACGGCAAGATGTGCCTGGGAGGCATCCTGACTTCCGGCCAGCCTCCAGTGGTCCCTGCTCCAAAACCCGAGGAGAGGGTCAAGCAACTCAACAACCCTTTGACGAGGCGGTAGTCAGACACTTGGGAAGATTCGGGCTTCTGCGGCTGGAGCCAGACCTCACTTATTCAAAATGGGTTTGGGTAAGTTCTCCAGAGATTCGGTAGTGTCTTCAAGTTTCCATAATTCTCTTTTAAAAAATGACACCCTTGTTACACAGCCTTGAAAGGAAAGCTCGGGAACTCTGATGGAAACGCACGTTTACAGTGAGGGCCACAGTGCCCACAGCGAGGCTCCTGTGTGGTAGGCACCTCGTCCTAGCAGCTGGGCTGGCCCAGAGGTCCCCAGCCTTCTCTGAGAGGCGGCCCCTGCAGGGGGACCCGCTGGCTGACCCTGGGGAAGCCACCTTGCCCCTCGCCTCCGCTGGGGAGCGGGCAATGAGGGCTCAGGGCCCTTGGGAGCCACCACAGCGTGTGCCCAGATGAGCCTCTCGTGGGCCCCCGGGGCTGCTTCCTCCACGTTGCGCCCGGGAACAGGGGCTTCTCCTCCAGCCCCTGCACCCATCCAGGCGCGGAGAGTCTCCACAGTCTGGCTCCGAGGGAGCTCGCCTGCCGGGTCTGCAGCCAGCACCCCACACACTCACCATGAGACCTCTTTTCTAGATTAAACATGCGCTGCTTTTATAATCAGGAAAAAAGTATGCTACTTTCAAAAACAGATGAAAGTGATTCAGGAATGAAGGATCAAAATACTTGTCGAGTCCCCTGGCACAGCGGGCATGCAAGCTCTCTGCTAGAGGCCCAGCTCTCTCCTCCTCCTCCGCCCTCAAGTCCCATGTCTCTCCCCACCAAACTCTGAGCTTCCTGAGAGCCCGCAGGGTGCCCGCCACTCTGCCTGCACCCCAAGTCCCCACCAGGAAGGAAAGGACAACCCCCCTGGGAAGGACGAGGTGGTGTCGCCTCGTCCGCAACTATGACATTCCACTTCATCCAAAAAATGAGGAAATACGATGCCAACAGAGATTCCTGGGTCAGGAAGATCCCCTGGAGAAGGGCATGGCTACCCACTCCAGTATTCTTGCCTGGAGAATCCCACGGACAGAGGAGCTTAGAGGGCTACAGTCCATGGGGTTGCAAAATAGTTGGACACAATTGAGCGTGCACACACACACAAACACAGCACAGAACAGCACTGGAGGCGCTGTTAGGACCCAGTGGAAGGCAAATGGTTTTGTTTTCTCCCTTTTATAACAGAACTATTCACAACTAAAACCTTTAAAACAAGGGGAAAAAAATGCAAAAAAGGAGGAAAGGCTTGTTAACATATAAAAAGTTAAGGGGGAAGGTGGAGAAATCAGAAAGAACCCCAAAACAAAGAGCATTTTAGCTTGTGCAGTCTACAATACAAACTTTTCTAGTGAGAGAGAGATTCTTGTAAGAATGATCTCAAGTCTTGAGGAGAGATGGCCCACGAATAGAAGGGATGAACGGCGCTTTTTTTATTTGAAGTAAAACTGTGTTTAAAGAGAACCATTGTCAGAAAGGCTGTCGAGAGGGCTGCCTTTCACAGCCAGGAAGAGACAAGAACTGCACAAGGTTGAGGTGGGGAGGGCCACGTGGGCACTAGCCCACTCACGGTAAAAGGCATACGTTCACGGGAACAAGTTCCCACAGTGACCGCTGGAGCAATTCCTGCAGATTATACAGTTTGTTTTCACACCGCGAGTGTCAAAAGAGTGCTTTAAACTCAACCGTAAGGAAAACGCGCGACGGCAAACTGGGATTGACTTAAAAACACACCGGAAAATGTCTGTACTCCCGAATCATGAAAATGTGGCTCTAGGTCACTCCTGGCGGGCCAGAGGTTAAGAACCCGCCTGCCAAAGCAGGGGACGCAGGCTCGGTCGCTGGGTCCCGGAGGAGTCCACGTGCCACGGGGCAGCCGAGCCCGTGGGCCACAACGACCTAGGCTGCGTGCTGCAGCTGCTGAAGCCCGCGCGCCTAGGGCCCGTGCTCTGCAAGGAGAAGCCTCCGCAATGAGAAGCCCGCATACCCCAACTGGGGTAGCCCCTGCTCGCTGCAGCAAAGACCCAGCGCAGCCAAAAATAAATAAATATTCTATGTACATGCGGCTTGACAGAAAATGTCAACACTGATTTTCAAATGATTATATAGGCTGACATTCCTATTTCTTTGTTGAACGTATTGTACAGTGCTTTTATTAATGGTGAGTGTATGCTCGGTCGTGTCTCCTTGGGGCCCCATGGACTGCAGCCCACTGGGCTCCTCTGACCAGGGGATTCTCCAGGCAGGAATACGGGAGTGGGCTGCCATTTCCTTCTCCAGTACGGTGCTTAGAATGACTGAAAACAGAGTTTTAAAGAATGCCCTTCGCTTCAGCAGCTTCTAAGGTGGAGCTCACGGCGACGACTCTGTGGCCAGCGTGTGGCACGGGCGCCCCTCCTCCCGCAGACAGATGCTCACAGCGCCTCTTCTCTGAGTTTCAGAGCCACGCTGCACACACCGACCCGCGGGGTCACCAGCGAGCACAGGTCATCCTCTGACTCTGACCTGGAGGTGTGGGGCTACGGCTCCCGTACCCTGGGGCCCCCTCCCCGACACACCATCTCTTGAGTGGGGGCCTTCCCCGAAAGAAAGAAAGAGAAGGGGGGTAGCAGACCACAGCGGCTGTGCTGGGATCACAGCTGGCACCGCCACGGCCATGCTTCCACGCCGTCTTCAGCATCCGGCCGCCAGACATTTACCCAGGGGCCACCAGGAATCAGACTCAGGCCTGGTCTCTGTGAGAATCCTGCAGAGACGACGTGATCACCCCGTCCAGGACTGAAACCAAGACGCACCTTGCTTGAAGTCACGCAGTTGGTGGGTCCCCAGGATTCCAGGCACCCGCCCCATCCCCATCCAGAACTGCGGTCCATGTTTGTACACGGAGCTGGGAGGCCCGCACGAAGTCTCCACCAGCAGGATGTGCTTCTCAAGCCGTGAGGCGCATGGGAAGCCGCCCACTTTCTGGCTCACTTGGGAACCACCTTTTCACAGTCTATCAAGCTACTGAAACCCCTTCCACCCACACCTGGGCAAGCGTCAGGAAACTGCCTGGAGAGGCCCGAGCTACGCAAGGACTCGGGGTTTAAACCAGAGGCGCCCTGGAAAGACAGATTCGGGGAAAGGGAAAAAGCGGCCCTGCTGACTCTGCGGGGCTCAGACAGGACAGAGGAGCATCGCCAGCTGCTGGTTTCTGCCCTCCCCCACGCTGCCCCGGCATCCTGGGTGAATAAGAAGACCTGCTGGACAGGTGGGCGCTAGCCCGGGGCCACGGCACCTTTGAGGAGCACCGCAGACAAACAGCCCGAGCTGCGTGTCTGGGGAGATGCCAGAGACAGTGCTTGGCAGGCCTCCGAGAGTTGCTAAGAAAGAAAGGAGTCTCTCCTTCGACACTTTCAGCTCAGGCCTCGACTTCTTTCTAGCTGGATGGGGAAGGTGTGGCCACAGGCGGTGCGGCTGGGGGCCGGGGCAGAGGCGGAGGTCCGCATGCCCCTCCTTGTCCCAGCCGGCCCTGCCCACACAGACAGCAGGCACAGTGGGCGCAGGCAGGCTGGCGTCCAGGAGTGCCATGGAGCGTAAACCACAGAGACGGGGGCCTTGCCTTCAGGACACGGCCAAGCCAGGCCCGGCAGTGCTGACCTCAAAACGCTGACAGTGGCTCCCTTACATCCACCCCAGGCTTTCATGGGGTCTGTTTTATTCTCAGTAAGGCCAAGGGGCCCGAGAGGAATGGATCTAGTCTCTGAGCTGAAATCCCGGAGGATACCAGATGGAGGGTAAACATTTTACAAGAAGGAGAAAGAAAAGCATCCATAGCCGTGTAGATTAGGAAAACACTGCCCAGGGCATGGCATGCAGAAGCAACACACAGGGAATGAGAAATTCCTGATCACAGCCGACGTCTTTTGCTAATTACAGAAGGAGAACTGCTTCGAGAAACATCTAGGACACTTTCCACCGGAGCCTGGGGCCCTGGACCCAGTGAGACCTGCCCCGCGGTGTCCCCAGCTCAAGGGCAGGGCTCCTTCCTTCAAGGCCTGGAATTAGACCCCAGATGAGCAGTTCTCGTCTTTGGGAAGAACACACCCTGTTGGAGCTCAGGACACAGAGGACCCGGCACTCTCTGCCACTTAAGTAGCATCAAGCTGCGCCCATTTCACATCCAAAACCGGCACCCTATTTTACCCCAGGAAAGAACACCTGCCCTCCTTGGACCTGAGACCCCACCCCTTTCCACACCCCCCCAGGACGGTGGAGCCCCAGACAGCCCTTCGGGGGCGCCCAGTGTCCAGTAGGGCTGGGGGAGTGGACTTACCAGTGCTGGGCATGTGGTTCACGCGGGCAGGGTTGAGCAGCTCCACCGGCTGGTCTCGGCCAGAAAGTCCATCTGGAGGACAGAGAAAGCATTTGGCTTCAGAAACTGCTCGCGATTCAATGGAAGCATTTCACACGCGGAGTCTGCAAGGAGCCCTTCCCTGCAGACAATGAGAATGCATGTGTCCTTCTCACTTTTAAAGGAGACGGGTTCTATTTTGATTTGGGGAACTTCAGAAGAAGAAAAGACCCCATGCACAACAACCCAACCAGCTCGCATCTCCAACAGAGCAAACACCAGTTTCTGGCCTGCGGGCGTCTGGCCGAGCCGTCGTGGGTTCCTCCTGTTCAACAGCCAGCTGATAGGCACGGAGCGTTTCTGGAGCGACCAAGAGCAGTAGGACAGTACACCCAGAAGAGAGGCTCACCGTCTTCCCAGACACAGCCCAGGGGCCCGGGGGCCACAGAGTCACAGCCCCGAGGCCCCGTCGAGAGCACACAGGCTGCTCCCGCTCTCGGGACAGGCAAGGGAACTAAGACTCGCAAACCCGCTCCCGGGAAAACACCGGGCCAGGCTCCTACAGCCAGAGGGACCGTTTCCTACGAGTTTACCTTTCGACTGTGTTCTGACCGCAAAGGTGGCAGAACTGGAACCACACTTGCCCCTCACTCGGCACAGGCTGCCATCAGACCACGTTCTCTCACACATGAGAAGGAAACGCTGGGAAGACTTCCAGGAATCACACTTGGGATGTAAAATTAGCTTCAACAATGGGTGTGAACGCCTGCGGTAATCATCATCACAGACGCTGGCGTGTGGTCACTCTAGCTACTGACTTTGGGAGAAATCACTGGTTTCCCAGAGCAGCCATCGGCTCCCTCGGGCCAGCTTACAAACTGGGGCAAAAGCAAGTAACAGCAGGTCTACCGACTCGGTACCAAAGCCCTGCTTTTCACCCCAAATGGATGTCACTTCATGGCCTCCAAGTGCATTATCCCATGACCCTGGTGTGTCTTTGGAGACGCTCAAAATCCAAGGACAAACACAACGACCCTGAGGAGACCCCACAGGGTTTCCCGAGTCCTGCAGACCCTCCTGAGGATGCAGGGAGGCCTCTGCGGCATCATGGGCCTGGAGCTCTCTGCTCAGAGCGTGGCGGACCCCACACACGAGCTGACGTTCAGCCTGCCCACCCAAATCAGGGACAGGGACTGCTGGGCTCCATTCCCGGGCTGGACCAGCCTGTGCTTCACACACTGCAAGTCCAAGCCCCACACGGACATCCTCCCAGCCCTGTCGAGTGAGGTCAGGCAGGAAAGCTGCACGGGAAGGATGTTCCACCTCGGCGTGAGGGCAGACGAAGTGTCCTGCCTCTTCGGAGGCGTCACCGTGTAAAACCCTCTGAAGGCCGACTCTGCCGAGGGGCCGTCGGGGCTGGAGCACAGGTGAAGCCGGGAGAGCCCGCGGGGCCGGGCACACGGCCCACCTCTCCCGGCTCCTCCACAGACCACCGTCAGCTGAACGCCACCAGCAAACTCCGTGTTCCTCACTCCGAAAGGGGGATCTCAGAGGCCCAGATGTAAGAGGTCTCCTCACAGAAGGCAGCAGACAGGACGGCAGGGGGCAGGACCTGAATCAAGGCGGGACCTCAAGATGAGGCCACAGGGAGGACAAACAGACCAGGCCTCCTCTCCCCACCCCGAAATGCCTGCCGGCGGCTCCGGAAGCCCAAGGCTGCCAGTCCAGGGCGTACAGCCCTGCACAGGAGGACTTCTAATGTCACAGGGCGGCGACCCAGGCTGAGAACACGGAGGCGAACTGGGCCCTCTCCAGCCCCTGGTGGATTCAGACCCAAACGCAAAGGGAAGACGCATCAGGTCCACGGACAGGGGCGGCAGGGCCCAGTGTGGGCAGGCGTGCTCAGCAGGCACACGACTGTGTCAGGCACGGAAGTCAGCCCCGGGGACGTCACTCTGTGTCACCTCGGTGACCAGAGCCAGTGACGAGTACCCCCGAGGGCCTCACAAATCCAGGTCCCGGTCTCAGGGCTCACAAATCCTCACAATGGACTGCAGCACACCAGGCCTCCCTGTCCATCACCAACTCCCGGAGTCCACCCAAACTCCAAGTCGGTGATGCCATCCAACCATCTCATCCTCTGTTGTCTCCTTCTCCTCCTGCCTTCAATCTTTCCCAGCATGAGGGTCTTTTGCAATGAGTCAGCTCTTCACATCAGGTGGCCAAAGTATTGGAGCTTCAGCTTCAGCATCTGTCCTTCCAATGAACACTCAGGACTGGTTTCAGAGAGCGTAGCTTCCTTCTTTAAAGTCACATGTATCAGTCTTTTTTTTACAGCTTTTCCTTTTTGTGTCAGGTTTAAGAAGCTCTTCCTAACGTGGAGGTTGCAAAGATTCTTTACCTTACTGCCAACTGAAAGTGTTGTCGTTTTTCCATTTTGTGTGTAAATCTCATCTCTCTAGTATTGATTTTGTATATGGTATAAAGTACGTCTTTTTTTTTTCCTATGAGAACAGCCAAATGTCCCATTACCATTATTAAGAAGCCTTACTTTGAGAACCTATCGGCAACACGGCTTCTGTTACAAGCCAAACTTCTCTCCTTTAGGCCAACTTGTTTATACCCGTGCCAATAATCACACTAGCAGCCATAACTTGACACCAGGTCTTACCACCCGACCAGGTGGGAGCCTCTGCCTTCTGCAGAATCACCCTGGGCGGTACTGGGCCTTAACCACAGAAATCTAAGAATCAGTTAAGTCACAAAGAAAGAAAAAGACAGAGGTAGGGAGACAGAGAAAGAATGGAGGGCGTTGTTTTTTTCAAACTAAAATGTCTCTTATTGATCCGTACATGACTCATATGCCTCCTCCCCCCACAAAAAAAAGGCATCGAGGTCTCTTCCCCAGCGCTCCCCTCGGCCCCCGACTCAACACCCCACAACAGTGGCGGCTGGAGCGGAGGAACAGGGCGAGGGGGTGCTCACGCAGATGGAGCCAGGCCCAGACTCCTGGGGCCCCGTTCCACACGTCCAACTGCAAGGCAGAGCTGGGGCGCTGGCAGCCTCCCCGTCCTCCTGTGAAGAAGGGGAGGAGGATACCTCGGGCGATGAAGAGCCTTTCCCTCAGCCTGAGGACAGAGCCTGCTGCCTCCTGATGGGCCTAGAGCTGGGACCCCCTCGGTGCCCCGTGTGAAGGGCAGTGGGGGGACGGGACACGCACTGCGAGGGGCTGGGAAGAGACAGAACCGGGGAGGGAGGGAAGAAGAAGAATAAGAACCCTGACTGGGACCGCATCGTGACCAGACTTCAGGAGCAGAGAATCTTGGCAGTACCATGTCTCCCAACCCGTGAACATGGAGCATCACTTCATCTCATTTCTCTCAAAACAGTTCTAGACTTTTGAGGGCAGAGATCTTGAACATCTTTAGATTTATTGCCAGACACTCGATACTTGAAGTAAAATATTATGTAACCCATGGACTGTAGCCCACCAGGCTCCTCCATCCATGGGATTCTTCAGGCAAGAGTACTGGAGTGGGTTGCCATTTCCTTCTCCACGGGATCTTCCCCACCCAGGGATCGAATTCAGGTCTCCCGTATTACAGGCAGACACTTTACCCTCAGAGCCACGATGGAAACCCCAAAATATTATGTATAGTACTTTAAATTTTAATTGCTATTTGCTGGTATATAGAAACACAATCAATGTTTATACGGTAGCTTTGCACTATAGCAGCTTGCTAATCAACCCACATTCATTCTAATCATTCACCTGAAGTTATTTTGAACTTTTTACACACAGAACGATGTCACTTCTGATAATGACTGCTTGGTCTTCCTTTCCAGCCCTGAAGCTTTTTAATGTGTTTTTCTCACCTTATTCTACTGCTCAGATTAGGGTACATCATGGAACAGAAATAGTGAAACGGAACACCCTTGTCTGGCTTGCCATCTTACTGGGAATGTTTGCCACTATTTCACCAGCAAGTAGAACATTTGTTGTCGGTTTCTGACATAAGTTTATTAGTTTAAGGAAGTTCCCTTCTATTTCTACTTTGCAAAGACTACTTTAAAATCACGTGTGTGTGCTTAACTTTATTAAGCTTTTCTGTATCAATTCATGCAGTTAAATAATTTCCCTTTTCATCTGATAATTTCCTTTTCTCATGTCCAACGAACTTGCATTTCTGGGATAAATGGACTTGGTCAGGTCCAGTGAGTTCGGAGACCAAAGCAAAGGCTAAAGTCATACAGACAGATGGAATCTGAGTGAGGTCTGGAATCTGTTTTACTTTTGATTCCAAAGCGTTGGCGATCCAGCCTCACGTTTCCGCCTTAGTTCCACACGTGCTGTGTTGTATATGTGAAAGAACAGGAAAAGGTACTATTCTGAAAGATGCTCAGTGGGACTTTTTCAATGTAGGTTACCAAAATGAAGTGGGGATGATAAGAGTGCCTGTCACCCAGCTGATTTTTCTTAAATTTTAAAATTGCTTTATTATCCTTATTGCTACTTCATTTATTTTTATTTTTTGGCCGTGCCGCAAGGAATGTGAGATCTGAGTTCCTTGGCCAGGGACTGAACCCAGGCCCCGGCGGTGGAAGCATGGCGTCCTAACCCCTGGACCGCCACGGAAGACCGTCACCCATTGCGGGACAGCAGCAGTCACCGCTCCCTGTCTCACAGAGCCGTTTCAGACACAAGGCCACGGAATCCTTGGCATTCTGCAGCAGCTCATCCCAGCCCACCTTCCTGGCCCCCTTTATGCAAACTTTTTATTTTCCAACAATTGTGAATCTGCAGGAAAATTAAACAGTATAGAGTCCTCACACACCCTGTGCCCGGCTTCCCCCGGGATAGTATCTTGCATTAGCCTGTCTTCCATGAACGGAGGCCCACATACCACTCAGGCTCCTCTGTGTTCCCCTCACACTCTCCTGCCATCCCAGGACCCCCACCCCAGGACCCCGTATGACATGTACTGGTCACGTCCCCTCAGGCTCCTCCCGGCTGTGACAGGCCCTGGGATCTTCTCGGTCTTCGATGACCTTGG